TAAAATTACTGGGAACAAAAATTACCCCCTACCTTACAACCTCACTAACTTTACCTTTTTATAATATTAGTATAGATATTGAAACATTAAAGTTAGCGTTCTATAAGATGAAATACATAAATGGTCCGACCTATCTACCTCACTTGTCTGAGGCGCCTGGCGCCGTACTTAATGTTTAAAAAAATCACAGTTATAACAGATGCTATGATAAAATGAAAAGGAAAACTATATTTGCTTAGCAGGCTTTGTCACAGTTTTACCGACAACGACGGTTTTGACGACAGTGATCTACACGACTTGAAAGGGTATTAAAAATGAATCTACCTATTATAGATTATTATAAAATTGTATTTTTTTTTCAAACGCAAAAAAATCAAAGCCGACTTTTCCAAAATATTTTTACATCATCTTAAAGCCCTTCGAATACTGCGTCTTTTGAGATCTCATACGTCCTCGTGGCCGCACGCGTCACGCGAGCCGCCCGCCACGAGATATCGCACCTCGCGCAAAACAAACAAACACATCAAAAGGGTAGTTGTTCGTAATGTAATGGATTTTGGAAGGTAATAATTTCCGCATATTATGTGAGAAAAGTACTGTACAGCCTTGGCCACACGTTCGTCCATCAATGCATCTTTTGCTGGCCGCTGCAGAGCTGATGTACAGTTGAGATTCCTAATCATTTCTTATAATTGACTTTTCTCTTTACTTTTCGAGCGCCATTCCTGCAATGAAATACATGACATCCTCATCATCAGTTTAGTGACCATACCCAAATTAAAAAATCACAGCGGCGGCCTTCTCTAGCGATGGAATAGGCAGATTGTCAGTGCGGATTAATGTGTTCAACAACTGCAGATGTAGCCGGGACCAACGGCACAACGTGCCTTTCGAAGTACGGATTATCTCTAAATAATAAATCATTGCGAAAGTGGCCCAATACGCTAACCACTGTCAATCGAGCAAAACTACGAATTAAATTTAAAAGTCATAATTTCCATCAAATTTACTAAAAACGCATGACATTATTTAGGTACAATAAAATCGGGATGACCGATCGACACTACTCCCCGGTCGCGGAAGCGGGTGGCCGGGCGCCGGTGTCGCGTGTCGCCCCCAAACCGAAGCCCCGCAACTCAACGCACCCGTCACATCGTTTGTGTTCGCACCAATCGCGCCGCCCTACTTGGGCTGATGCCGCCATTCGTGCGTACACCGGCGCTTATGAGATTACGATACGATACTGCCCAAAAACTACCGGTTGCTGACGTATGACCGAGGCGCGGACAAGCTAATCTACCTATCAGGTCTTAGAGTAAACATAGAAAAACTAACCAGTTTCAATCATACTGTACCCAAACATTGTTCTAGAACTTTGTTGTCTAGATATTCATATTATTTAGATTATAATGACAACTGCTGCTAGAAAAGGGAACCAAATTATTCTTTTACTGGAGGTTGCTTATTTAGAAACTGGCCTCGACCTCATCGCTATCATCTGAAGTCCATGTAGAAAAATTTGCCAAGTAGGTAAGTACGCGTCGAATCGGATCGCGCGCTATCGCACGAATTCGTCAGTTGCCCGTCACAAAGCGCATTTTTTTACCGACTTCAAAACGGAGGAGGTTTTGGAGTTTACTCCTTAAGAATCGATTTGCATATATAAGGGGCCCGGTATGAGAAAAATGTGAGGAGTAAAATCTTTCGATGAATGACCTCGTTACGTTTTTGGTGCGCATCCTATGTCGCGCAACTTTGACAAACAAAGATGACGGATTGACATTAATATTTTTTTTAAAATCTGAACTGAATTTAGATATTGTTTCTGATAGAGCAATGGGGACAACGAGGTATGGTACAACCATTGATGCGGTATTTTCAAGATTCGTGAACCACGTATCTACGAACGTCCATGTGTCTTATTTTAGTTACTATAAACCACTTGTCACTGTAATTAATAATGCAGACAATGTTGATTTAATTAATATTTAAAAAAATGATAATAGTCTGATAATAATAATTACATAATTTATCAACATTCCTAATGTTATATTTATGCACATCTGAAATTGACTATTGTAAAAAGTTTAATGTAAAATATTTCGTCGACTAGTTATAATAAATGTATATGAAATGAATAAATATATATTTATATATGTGTATTATTTTCATATATTGTTAATTTACCCTTTCATACAGTATCAATCTTTTTTAAGTTAAATAAACTCTTTTTGCGTCTGGTTAGACTATCGAACTTAAGGAGTAAACTCCAGTCGTGCGTCGGAGCTGACACACACAATTTTTTTTGTCTAGTTGGTATTTTTATATATGCAGTAAAAACCCAATGTATAGCGCATGCCCCGTAAAGTAAGAGCGTTGAACAATATAATATACAAAAATAAAATAAATCTTAATAATAATATTTGCATATTTTGAAATGGTTCATAAGTTTATTTTTGGTATCGGTTTGACAACTAACGACGTTATATTATTTCCAACGTGAGTCAACTCTATGGTCCCATCTTTTGAAATGTCTGCAAATAATAATGAGTTTATTCCCAAACATAGGTAGTCTTTGCTACAATAAGAACCCAGTCCCCGTAGCACGACCACCGTAGCATACAATATACACTGTATCACATTTTTTATAACTGTCAAAATCTTTAGTAATTTGACGATTGAGTGTAATAAAAACGAGCTATATGTCATATAGTACGATCATTACCGTAATATAAGAATTAGGCCTTGTTTAGATGACACGCGCTCGCGTAAGCCCCACAAGTGAGCACCCGCGTCCAGCACGCTTCGAAATTTGCGGTATAAAATCTTACGATACTTCAATAACCTCGCATACGCCACTCACACGCAACGCGCACGCCACGCATACGCATTTCACGCACGCACCCGCCGCGATAAACTGAATTAGATACTTATTGATGTGTCTTAGGACTCCATTTTATGCAACTAATGCATATACCTTGCACCCGCGCTTCAGCGAGTGTGGGGGAGGGGAGGGGTACGCTGAAAGTAAAATAGATAAGAAAAAAGACGTGTGCGTGGCTGGCGCGGGTCATCTGAACGCACCCTTTTCTATTAAATTAAACTGATAAAAAAAGCTTCACGAACAAGAGGAAACTAAAGGAGGTAAACCCAACAAATATGGTAACGTCTTAATTAGCTATGGGAATTCTAAATGCAGGACTCAACAAATTTGCATACAAACCCGATATGGCATGATGATTCTCAGCTTCTCATTTAGATGTGTATTAATTTCTATAATAAATTCCAGTTCAACGCTTGACTTTAATACGTGCAGGAAAAATTTCGTACAAATCTTCATGACCAAAATGCTATAAAAACAGGAAAAGAGAGACTCGGACTCGCTTACCAAGGGGTTCCGTTCAAATTTTTAGGTACGTAAAATAAACGGCCGTATCTTTTTTTATGTTAACTTAGAAATATGATTTGTTTAAAGCTTTAAGGGACTGTAGGTAGATAATTTATACTTCAATTATATACCTCCATACGTTCCCAAAATAAAGAACCTTGACAGACGGACCACAAAGTAATCTTATAAGAGTTCCGTCTTTTCCTTTTGATTTATGGACCCCTAAAAACCCCCTTTTGTTCATGTGGGAGTGTAAGAATTTTTACAATAAAATTTTATATTGACAGTAATACATTATGATTAAATAATAATTTATTTCCAATAAGAGGTGATCTTACATATGTAAGATTATTATTTATACAAATCGCAGACCATCTCATGTGATATTAAATATAATATGTAAGTGGTGGTAATTCATTTGCTAAATTCATTAATAATAATAATTATGCATCATTTTTTCTCTTCACAATTCCATGCACAAAAAAAAATACAAACTTAATGAATTAATTTCCTTTACACAAGATTGTGGAGAGATCTGGCTGAACTAGGCCGCAAAACATGGTACATAATAACAAAATTACAAGTTCTGAAAAAATAACTGTATATTTACAATGTTGAAGAGAACTATAACATCCGAATGTTGTTTGTTATTTATTATCATTTTCAAGATACAGCAGAAAAATATGACGATCGCCCCATCCATCCATCCTCTGCACCACGGGGCCCTGGAACCATCCAAGTAATAGAAACACAACACCACTGTAAGGTAACTTCGCCAAAGCAGGCGTTCTAATCTTAGAAGATCAACAACTCCTTTATGCTCTACCTTTCTTAAAAATACCGCTTGAACCTACCTCTTCTTATGAGCGATGGTATAGCGAAAATCTAAGAACGCCTAATTTCTTCATGACTGATATTTTTTTTATAGATAGGTCCGACAAATGACTCTATCCCACCTAATGTTAAGTGGTAATAATTAATAAATTAACCTGATGTTAATAATAACCTAAATCCGTAATTCTTTTTAGTCCCTTCTTTAAAGTAACAGCCAAAAGGGTACAGGATTCAGCTTAGCCTTGTACGCCTCGACCCTTATGGATTCAATATTTATAATGTCGTTTTTTCATAGGAAAAGCATATATTTTCTTATATAATCTATAATTTTTCCGAACAATAGGTAGGTACTATACCTATGTTGATTCTTTTTTTCTGAACTTGAACATTTTTTAAAGTTGTTTGTTACCTACAAATCATTACATAATGTTATTTTTTACCGAATAAACGCCAGTTAATCTTTTATTAATTGAGTACAATACAATTACAACTTTGTATGCAATATTAAATACCCTACGTAGATGTAACTAAAGACAATAGTATCATAAGCTTAAGTATCTTGAAAACTAAGTTAGATTCAAAACTGATCTTATTTCCATCGTAGCACGGCTAAGGTCTCAGCCGCAAGATACTGATAATACTGAACTATTCAAGTGTGCCCTATCCTAACTACTAAGTAATAGCGATACAATTATAAAATAATGTTGTATCACGCTCTCTTCTATCGTGTCGTCCCTTTCTCTCGAATGTCGTCAGACCGTTTGAGCTGCAAACGTAGCCAGTTGTGCGCTTAGTAGTTACGTATCCGAACTTTGCCGTGGAAAATGTACGCGCGAACGATACCGGCGTGTTCTTGATTCAAATTTTCTTTGAACTGCTAACTTTTTAAATAGGTTGTGGTGCGCGGGAAAATGAGCAAAAAGTCCGGTAGTGACAGAATTCGATCCTTGAAGAATGCGTCTAGAAATCCATCGACAAACAATACGTCAAATCCTTCGTCTTTGGAAGAATCCTATGTAAGTGACCTTCATTTATTTACTTACCTATTTACATACATTAGTAAAAGGTAACAGTGAACTTTATGCAAGAATTAATAACGTCTTATGAATCTGGTTGCGTTGTTTTTGTTTCGTCATAATTGTAAACTGCAATAACATTGCTTTAGCAATACGCTGTCTTTAAACTTAATCAGGTTCAATCGATAACATAACGTGTTTCAACAAAGTATCAAATTTCAATCAAACGCAAAATCAATAAAGATCAAGTTTAGTTGGTGATACGTGAGGATTTTGGTAAGCTTGACCTATGTCTGCCTCTACATCTTTGTTTTATTAACAATAGATTTTCCTATGAAGTCACTCAATGCAAATCTTGGTGATAATATAAAAATATTATGAAACCATACGCAAGATTGCGATAGGTGATTAAGAAAATATATCAGTTACGTCTACTAGTATTAATAACTTTTAAATTGGATTCATTCACTAATCAGTCATATTTAGCATTGAATGATAAGTCACTTCTGCGGCTTCATGATTCTTTCATTTTCAAGTATACATTACTCTGTCTTACCTAATATTTATTGTGAGTGGAGTAACATACAGGTCCCGATGACAGCTGATACGGCAGTAAATCGTGCTACTCCAGACATCCCCACCTTCCTAGCCCGAACTTAACCATAATCATCATCAGCCTATTAATGCCCTCACTGTTGGGGCACAAGCCTTCTTTGTGGATGGAATAGGTAGATTGGACCACCCACCAAGAGGGCCCAGTACTGATTGATGACTGCAGATGCAGTCGCGACCAACGGCTTAACGCGCCTTCCGAAGCATAGTGGAGCTCGAGATATTAAACGTTTGGTTACCCATCCAATGACCGACCATTGGGAAAGTTGCTCAACTTCAACGATTGTAGCCAGCTGCGCCAACAAGCTCTTCATATTCCTCAATATACAGAAAAATCGCTTTTTTTCAACCTTTAAAAAAAGGTATTAGTGTGTGAGAATAAGCAAGAAGTCCCATAAGTAGCTCCGGTAGTAACAGAATTTGTTCTTTAAAAGCCCCGTCCGATAAACTTAAGTAAATATTTAGTTATATAACGCATTTTTGTTGATTAAAATTTCCGCGTACCTATACCGCTAGTTTTCGGGTACCAATAATAATCAATTAAAATGAGTTAAAAATGTATAATTTTATATTAATGTAAAAAAATGGTAGAAGAGCTAGCTAAACATGAACCAAATTCCTCAACAGAAAGAAATATAATTATTAATAGTTCTTCACCATAGGAATAGTTACTTTACCATACTATAACGAACATTTGTGGTACAACGGCAGTGCTCCTTCCTTCAGCCTTAAAGGTCCTGGGGTTCGAATCACGGTAGGGGCATTCGTTTGTGTAAAGAGTACGTGACGAATATTTGTACGCGAGTCTATATTCTTTATATACTTTTATTATACTATGCAATATATGGTTTTTATTACCTAGAATTAGAAGGTGCGGCGCGGCGTCTCAGGACTTTGCCACGTTGAGGCAAAGCACTTTAACTATAGATAAAAAAATGTGAATGCATTCTGTGAAACGGAAATCAATCCCGATGAATTGAAAAATAATCTGTGTAACCTTTTCCAAATAACAAAACCATCTAAAATAAAATGAAAGTCAAGTTATTGTTTTAACCGAAATTCATGATTTACGAGATTATTATTCCAAAGCGGAACAATTGTCATTTGGTTTCATAAAAAAAATAATTCAGTTTGTTGTGTTTTGTTTTAGTTTGGCCCAGTAGTTTTTATTTTATGAACATATTTGTCAACTTCACCGATGTAATTTTCACGATATTTTATGTAGGACTTTTTTTAAAGGTTTTTATATATGCTTTTTTACTAAAATAGATGAAATAAAAATTTATTTAAACAAAAATAAAAAGTAAAAATAATATTATGCTAAATTTTCAGCTGAGAAGAAATTTTCAATAGCTTACGAGTGTTATTCGACTTTTTTTGACAAAGTTGTGAGTAGTTAACTTAATAAACCTCTTAAGTAATAACGTATTTTGAGATCCTGTACAAGGAAAATATTGGTGTACCTAAAATGTGTTGACGGCGCGAAGTCTTTTTTACTATACTCCTATGTATGCTGGTTGTAGGTATTGCACGCTGGTATTAGACCCAATCAATATATCATTTTAAAATAAAATAATAATTTCTGTAGATTTGACTAAAATTTGTGTTAGGTATATGTTATTTTATGTGTGTTATTTATTTATTAACATCAAACAAGATTAACACCAACTCATCATAAAGTAACTTACAAACAATGTGGAAGCGAACTAAGTGCAATCTTAATTATAGATGTTACACAATAGCACTGATAAGCAAAAATATCGCATAACAAAATCACACTATTTAAAAATCTTCTAATAATGTGAAATAATTAGTAGTATAATGTAAAAAAAAATATACTAAAGTTAAAAACATTTCATTAAAATTATATCATTATTCGGTAAAACGTCACAAAATATTGTAAAGTAATGGAAATTGATGTTATAATAATTAAAATTAAACATAATAAACATTTACAGTCACCAGCAAATACCTACGTCAAATCTAGTAATTTATTTACATTATTTTGGAAATATTTAAGAGAATTAGAGAAAATATCGACATCAATTAATTGTGAATCATGCTCATGAGCATGCTGTGGTAATCCACATTTGATTCTACTAGAATGATTTGGATTATATAAATCAATCAATCCTAAATAATTGAAAAATATTTTTTGTAACGCTGAAGTTCCTAAATTTACAGTAACCGACATCCAAAGGAAGAAGGTTATCAATACTTTATATACATATTGCGTTTATGGTTGTTCACGCTTATCTCCCTGATGTTTGTACCGATTTTGATGATTTTCTTTTTGTTTGAATCAGTTTTTTAGTGAAATGGTCGCATATTAATTTGGGGACGATCTAACTAAAGAGTACTTTAGAAGATAGGTAAACAATGAAACTCTTCATTCATTACACACAGCAGAGCGGATCCGGTATGGATCAGCGCGGCTCCGCGTGAAAATTTTACAGAATAGTACTGCTGTACTCAATTCCTGTACAGTTATTTTAAGAAATATGAATAAGAAAATGAAGGCTGGGTAAGGTACCTATTACCAGTATATTACTTAGTTAGATCAACTAATTATATAACTAACTTTAAGTTATATTGAATTAAAAAATAGGAAAACAAAACCGTTTTTTAACAAGATTAAAAACCGCATTCGTGAAAACAAAACCACTAAAAAGTAATAAATATAATAAAAGTACATTTAAAATCAAATTAACATTTGGAGTCGGTGCTGTGTGTTGGTGAAGATCTGATTTGCTATTTATTGCTTGGGTTGGCATGGTACGTACGAGGAAATTAATCAAAATGAAAACTCATTAATCCGTGCGCTTTTACTTTTTTTTATATTAATGTTCTGAAAAAGCAAATGGCCAGTATCATTTTGCTGACATTGTGATAACAACTTTTTATAAGATTTAATATCCATATGACCGAAAATAATTTTCATAGACTTTCTCTGCCTGCGGGCGCGCTAACAATGGATTTCCATTGTAAAATTTACTTGCCCTCATTTTAGTACCTACATACAATAGTAATGACGTAGATACTGCTTTTTTTAATGAATAAAGCTCTTTTCAAGCAGATATACTTAAAAAGCTATGAGTTCACTTGCAGTGTACCTTTAAGTATGGTATGTTGGATAATCTTGCAACTCAATTTTAAAATAGTTAATTTCAATTGAGTGAGATGAAATTTTGTAGACACGTTAAGTTTGAATAAAAACCCTTGATTTAGGTAATCACTCTAAATCCAATATGGAGGACGACCCACGATGGCGACCTAGTATTTTTTTGTGCACTACCATGATAAGGGTATCAAATGAAAGGATATGTTGGGAAGAATACGAATTACGAATAAACTAAGGTATGCCTTCAATTTATCATTTGCAAAGGTAAGTTTTTTTTTTCAAAAATATGAACTTACTAATGTGTGACCGCGAATATACGTCTGCGTGGTAAAATTTATTCCCTATACTAACTTAACGTAAAGCGGGGGTTTACGTTTTACCACTTTAGGGGTTTTGGAAAATCCTCTCTTAGCGCACTCCTACATCATAATAGCTATATGTGTGCCAAATTTAAGCGCAATCCGTTAAGTGGTTTGAACAGCAGTGCAATTCTGTATGAACAAACTCACTTTTCACCGCGAAATCCGCGTTGTGATTTAAAATTAGAACACCAATTTCAAATAAATTTCACAATACACCGGCAAATTCCGCGCTGTAAAAAGTGAGTTTGCTCTTAAAGAATAGAACAAACTCACTTTTTTCACTGTGCGTTGATAGATCAGCCAGTCAGTAACGGTTGCCTTTTATAAAAACTAGGTCTCGGTGTAGACTAAAGTTTTTGTTCTTATGCTTGTATTATATATAATTATATAAAAAAACCATCTGTGAAAAAATGACTAACAGTAAAAAAAATTGTTGCGTAGTTTAGGACCCGTAGTACAAAATGCACCATTGCTTTGCTGTTAAAAAAAGTTTGTCCCCCTTACCATTGGTCTATGTCCTTATTATTAAATGTATCTAGTGACGTGTTTTGTACACATTTATCACTTATAATTATTACACACGTATAATTGAAAAAGTAATTTACATGGACTGATATCTGTACGTATAGTCTTAAATACGAAGTGATTTATTTGGATAAGGATCATTACCCAGGTATTGTACGAATAATGTGGCCTAGTTTAGACGCAATAGTAATGCATATTTTAAGATGAAAAAATAGAAATAGTTACATAACTATAATAGTTAGATAAAAAAATATTTACAACACTCACAGCAATTGGCCTAGCCCTAAAGCATGTGTTATGGGATACCAGGGTACTGATACATATATAAGTAAATTTATATAGAAATACATGCATATTTAACATCCATGACTGGAGTACAA